TTGCTCTCGGAACCAGAGGGTACTTTAGTATTTGATGCAGCCTTTCGTTCTCAATTTTTGAACAATGTTTGGAGAAGGAGAAACGTAATTCTAGCAAAGCTGTTCATATCTTGCTTACAACTTTCGTGTGCGTTGACGACAACGCGCGTTTTGGGTTTTTGCGCCGCGTGGGACCACGGCGATTTTGCAGGCGCCGCCGCCTCACATCAAATCCGTGAATTTTGAGCTTTAAATACCCAAAACTCGGATGCAACAAAATGTTTAGAATGATATTCGATGTGTCAAACTTATCAGAAGGGACAGCTGTGAAAAATCGATCTAATTGACGTTTTTCTGGCGATGAAAGGCCTCCAATAGGGAATCTAGCGCGACCTCGTGCTGACCTGGCGGAAGTACCACAAATAAAAGCAGTAATACGTGCAAAACAAACGAAAAGTGTTATGATAGTACTTGTCATGAAACTATCGCCCCTTTGGCTGTAGTAATCGCATCCTTTACATTTACATCCAGAATGCCTGCCGTAGAGGTAGTTATGGTTCGTAGTCCGGCGTCACAAAGCACAAACTGTCTTCGTAGAAAAAAGTACGCTTTATTCCCAGAAAATGCTTGTCATAGAAGGTAGCGCGCAGCAGTGTCTCAATCTGGTGATAAAATTTGCGCCAGAAAATTTGGTAGCACAATACTTGATATTGTAATACATATTTATATTATACTTAACTGCGTCACTGCAAGTATCGCGCGGACGCAGTTCTGATGTTCTGAGCTACACCCAGCACTCCTATAGAATTGTTTAGTGGCCAAGCAAAACGAGGGGCCGTTTTGTGTTGTTTCGAAGATGATTGTCGTTTCGAAACATGTCGGGAAATGGCGTCGCGTTTTTCATAGGCTTAGACCAGAGACTAGACCAGCGGAAGTGATGTACTGAAGATTAGTGATGTTTACCACGCGCACGATCCGGAGATAAAGTTCTGGATGCGCCCTTCAGTCGAGATAGTTTAGGTACTGAGTTTTCTGAGGGAAGAAAGAGACCAGCCTGTACATCGGCTCGTCCTTGCAAGCCATTGTATGGGCCCGTATTCGAACCACGCCATTTTAAATTCAAGTGGAATGCGTAGGATATCCGAGAAGAGGACTGAACAACGGTTATGCTCTTCATCTGTCGCCCGAGAAGAATAGTTCACGGAAATAGCAAAAATTCCGCGAATTTTGTCAATTGGCATTTTAGAGAAATTGCGCAATTTTCGCCATGTGTACAATGAAATTCATTCATACCATTCCCCATGACCTTGGCTGGCTGGAAATTGTCAAGTAATACACGGTGCATTAACAATATCGAGCCATCCTACCAGAGCGAGGTGATTGTATAACATTTGAACGTCAGGGTACAGTAGTGGTCAAAAGTGTTCGCCGAAACGGTTTCGCATGCGTTACCGTTTATTCTCTTGAAGAAGTTTCGAAGGCTTCTCAGAGAATAATCTTTTCAATGCCTCGAATCTAGCAAATGAAGATTCAAGAAGGTTAGAAGACACAACATATCGGTGTCTGAAGGGAATTGGTCAGGTGAGAAAAACAGTAAACGAAAACGTTTCGGCGAAACTTTTGACCGCTACTGTTTATCCCGCACCGCAACGCTATCTACCTTGCAAACAGATTTCACCCTTCTCACCTCTCCTTATGACCCATGTAATGTTTATCGTTCACCCTTAGCGTAAATTTGAACGCCGAAGCTCTCTACAGAAATTTTGCGCAGTCAGGTTGAAAAGATAGTCGATACGACACAGCTTTGGAGATTAAATGATTGTATTCGTTCACTGATTGAGAGTTTGCTCTTCCCGTGCTTCGTTGGGGACTCGAAGCACTCGCGACTGCAACTTCAGTATCCAAGGACTCTCCTTGACTATGTACTGAAGATGAAACCATAAATGTATGAACCTTAAAAATTACGGGAAAAAAAGGACCTCTAAACAATGAATCACTG